TAAAACTATGTCCAACTTTATTTAATTTTTGAATCATGAAATAAGATCTATTTTCTGAAATATTATGTTCTGTACAATGAATGATTGTCCGATTTTTGACAATGTATTCGTGGCATCCTTAGCATCATTTGATATGTGTTAGCTGTTACCCGGTATCGAAGGTTCCTTTATGGAACTTAATATGTCTGCAATCTGTTACCCGTACCGGAGGCTCCATCTTAGAGCTCAACATGTCTATTCTCCATTACCAGAATCCGGAGGTTCCTTTACGGAACTGGTTACTCATAACCACCATATGTTCTGTATCTGTTCTGTATTTGCTCTGTTAGCGCTAATGGATGTAACACATATGATTAAGCATGAATTTTGAATTCTGTATATGATATGAATATGAATATGTATATGAATCTGCTTATGAATTTGAATTCTGATTTCTGAATCTGGAATGGACATCATTCATTAAAACTCTTTACTCTATTATTATTCACTGGGCTCCCACTCACTATTTATATTATGTATGTAGGCGAGCAAGCGCGTGACTAGGCCTAAGCTGCTGCCTAGAAAGTTTTGGGGTCAGCCAGCCATCGTGCCTCTCGGGGAGGTTCCCATGTCTAGAAGTTGAATTTTGTGGGCCATGTCAAGAGTTATTTTGTGTTTTGTGTTAAAGACGTTTATGTTTTGTCTTATTTTGATATCTGTATATTAGGCTAAGTCCCTTTTGATGACACTTGCACGGTGTTGCAAGACTTTTATGAACATGACATCTCATGTGTATATTTTATAAGGTTTAAAATTTTCGTCTCATATATGTCTACACAGCTCTATGGACTACGTATATTCTGCAGCCCCTAATTATATGTTATTCTGTTAAGAGGCCTTTAGTAATCCAAGGATTACTGGCCAGTTACGACGCTAAACCTATAGGGGCAGGTTTGGGTCGTGACAATGGCCGTACAATTCTTGGATCAAATCGATAGGTAATGCAAAAGCCAAAAAGCGGCTACGCTCAGAATCACGTGAAATTTGGTGAGTCAATAAAAAATGTGATTTCAATAACGATCCATGATGATGTAGCATGTATGGCTGTACAATTCTTGGATCACGTGATTACGCAATGCAAAAGCCAAAAATGGGTTGAGCTCGGAATAGCGTGAAATTCGGTGGGTTAATAGAAAACGTGATTTTAAGAATGATCCATGATGATATAGTATGCATGGCCATACAATTCTTGGATCAAAATAGATAGGCAATGCAAAAGCCAAAAACGGGCCGGGCCAGGCCAGGAATTGTATGAAATTTGGTGGGTCAATAGAAAACGTGATTTTAAGAAGGATCCATGATGATGTACCATGCATGGCCATACAATTCTTGGATCAAATGGATAGGCAATGCAAAAGCCAAAAACAAATTTTGTTAGTCAATAGAAAACGTGATTTTAAGAAGGATCCATGATGATGTAGCATGCATGGCCGTACAATTCTTGGATCAAATGGATAGGCAATGCAAAAGCGAAAAACGGGCCGGGCTCAGAATCCCGTAAAATTTGGTGGGTCAATAGAAAACGTGATTTTAAGAAGGATCCATGATGATGTAGTATGCATCACCGTGCAATTCTTTACAACAAATTTGGGATTTAAAGACGAAACAAATTTGTCCCAAAATGTATATATTTCGTCACCCAAACTAATTACAACGAACATTTTTCGTCACCCGTTTTGTCGCCAAAGGGTCGTCGCTAAAGGGTCTTAGAGACGAAAAAACAAATTCGCCATTGAAAATGATAAATTTGTGACAAATTTTTTTGTCTCCAATACACTCTGTTGGGAACATACTTGTAAGTAATTAGCGACAAAATATTTTGTCATTAAAGGAGAAATTAAAGACAAAAGTATTTTGTCATAAATATAAGAAATAGAGACGAAATAATTTTGTCACGTTTAATATAAACGAAGACGAAAAATTTTTGTCAAAGAAGCTACCAATAGAGACAAAAACAAATTCATCATTAAAAATGATAAATTTGTGACGGATTTTTTTGTCTCCAATACACTCTGTTGGGAACATACTTGTAAGCAATTAGCGACAAAATATTTTGTCATTAAAGGAAAAAAATTAGAGACAAAAGTATTTGTTCATAAACATAAGAAATAGAGACGAAATAATTTTGTCACGTTTAATATAAATGAAGACAAAAAAATTTTGTCAAAGAAGCTACCAATAGAGACAAAAACAAATTCATCATTAAAAATGATAAATTTGTGACGAATTTTTTTGTCTCAAATACACTCTGTTGGGAACATACTTGTAAGTAATTAGCGACAAAATATTTTGTCATTAAAGGAAGAAATTAGAGACAAAAGTATTTTGTCATAAATACAAGAAATGGAGACAAAATAATTTTTCATGATTAATATAAACGAAGATGAAATGTTTTTGTCAAAGAAGCTACCAATAGAGACAAAAACAAATTCATTATTAAAAATGATGACATAATGTCAAAAAAAAATTGTCACACATTGAGGATAATAGTGACAAAATGTGACAATATTTTTTGTCATGACAAATTCATTTAGCAACGAAATAAAGAATTTATGACAAAATTAATCATCCACCTAAGCCAAATAAGAGACAAAAAAAACTTTCTTTAGGGATGGAAAATTTTGTAAGTAATTCCATAATATTTTTTTCCACATTATATACCTATTTTATCAAAATCTAAATTTTAGTTCAACAAATATAACCCTGTTCATGTTGAAACCTATTGAATATAACAATTCCATCACAACTTAACCTAACCTGTTATCAACACATTTACGAATTAACAAAATAAAAATATTCATTCATCATTACAAATAATTTCATCCTAATACAATAAAATAGTGAAATATCCTCAAAATATCCAAAAGTTATAACTTGTTCAATTCCATCAAAAATCCAACAATAACTAGTGCAACTCCACAACGTGTGTGTATCCTTATCGAACAAAAATGAACATTCAAGCAAATTACATCATTGTTGCACGCCAAAAATTCCACCCCAATCCAATCTGCAAAAAAATAAATTAAAAATTTTAGTAATTAATCAATTATACAAAAGATTAAAAACATTAGTAACTCATCAATTTACAATTAGATCAATTATACAATTTATCCCTGTAACAGACTTTTTTCGAGATTATGAGAACAAAAAATTAATTTTAAGGTTAATTCACAAATGGTGCATCCCATTAATGTGCCGTAAGTTCATACAATTTATATTGGTCCCTCCTAAGGTGTTTCTATTGGTTCCTGTACAAATTTGTAGTTGTGTGACAATTTAGCATTTCGACGGCCTTTTCTGAAGCTTTAAGTATAGAGAAAAAAATATATTTTTTAGACTAATTCACAATTTATACATCCCGTGCACCTCTACAAATTGGATGCCATATGCATGTTTCCATTTCTTCCTAATTCTTCAAGCATGTATTCTTTTATAAAATTTGTTATATTAAAGTTAATATACTTTACCAAGAAGTTTGTCCATTTGTGCATGAGTCCACTTCCAAAGTGTCTAGTGAATCCTTTGGTCCTCAAAAAGTTGACAACATCAGCCATTATCTCCCCTTGCTTCTTCTTACCCTCTTCAAGATCTTCTATTTTATTGTTCTGCATTTGTATTTGTTCCTTCTGTGTCTCTATTTGCATCTCAAGGCGCTTCACATAATCATTTGTTTCAGCATATATGGTAGTGGTCCTCCTAATAGAGGATGAAGGTCTAATGCCAAGTCCCTTCACATAGCCAGACCTTGGCTTTAGGGCTTTGATTGATAGCTCTTCTGCAGTCAAAGGGGTTGATCCCGGCTATGAGAGGTGATCAACCTGTGTCTGTATCATATTTTCCTATCAAATATAAAAAAAATTAAATAATTATTAGAAAATTAAATAAGATTATAACAAATAGTATTCTAAAATTTTGTTAATAAAAATTGCAATATATACTCACATAATTACACTGAGCTTGAGATAAGATCCACTCATGTGTTTTCTCATTATAGTGAGTTTCCTTATACAACTCAGCTAGATCAGGTAGCATCTTCTTTTCTCGTGCCTAATTCGATAGACCAAATATTCAATAAATAAAGCTAAGAATCTAATATAATTCTGAAAGTGCCAGGATACGTACCAGTTTTTCTACTCTAATAGGGATTGACCTAGAACCACACCTATGTTTTGTATACATCATTTCTCTGTTCGCGATGTTGGCCTTTGATTGTTCCTATAAGGAAGAATGACCGATATAACAATGAAATGTATCATTAGTAAGACAAATATGTTGGCTTTTGATTGTTCCTGTAAGGAATAATGAACCAATATAACAATGAAATGTATCACTAGTAAACAAATTTAATGCTTGATAATAAAGAAATTGCATTGTTCCTCTCTATCATTTTCCTAAATGTCATTTCAACTTAAAAGATATTTCAAATTATTCCCTAGTTTCATTCAATTCTTTGAAAAATATATTAGAGGACTTGTTGAGATTTCATCATAAGATGGTTTTTTCTGGGTGAAAAAAGAAAAACGAATAATTTACACCGTTCACAAATAGGGGGCATATAAGCATGGGCAAGATAGATTGTGAAAAAATCCATTTACATTTCACAAGATATGGAACAATTACTGATACCAAACTCATAACCCTTTCTTTCTTCCGCAACTCTATCAAATCTAAAGTTCTGTCTCAATACCCTATATTAGTTACTTAGCTAGTTGCTTACCATTATCATGAAACTTCAGACCAAACCCAAGAACAAACAGAAAATTAATACAATCATAGAAACTGAAATCTTAGTTCTTTAGTCTATGATGTGAAAGATGCACTTTAAGGAACCATAAATTAATCTCCGATTATGTGAGCCTTCCAATCCATGTTTAATACTTTCCCTTTCTCATTTTCCCACTTATTTGGTTTTTATTATGCTCCACTTACATGCCTAGAAGATAAAGGGAAAAGAATACATATGGAATTTCACAGCAAATTGATTGTGTTCTTTCTAGTTTTTTTAGAATCTCTCCCTATTCTAATCAAATTCTTTCTTCACTGATATAATAAAAAAGATGAAAATGCTACCAAAAATTCTTTAGTGTTCCACTTCTTATCAATAAGATCTATCCACTTGGTAGGATCAACATCCTTCGGTGGGTGGTTTCTTGCATACTCCTCCCCTTTAGCCTCCTTCAGCTCCATGAATTGTTTGTGCAGCCTATAGGTATGGTTACTCAATCTCAGACCAAATTTTGTGTTCATTGCCTTCTCTATATCAACAGGGTCTCCTTGTAAATCAAATTGATCCTGCAAAAAATAGATAAGTCATAGATAATTCTTATAAAAAATAAAATAATTACAATAAATAATTAAGATTTCTAACCTATTATAAAAATGAGTAAAATGTCCTATAATAGAGTAGACAACTAATTTACATTCAAGCGTTGAAACATCGCCTCCTTAACGGAGGCATCAACATACTTCCACCTACGAACACTTGGATCTGGTAAATGAGTTTGCACTTCTACACCAATCTTTGAGGCTAGTTTTGAGGCATAGTCCCCTACCGGTGCACGAAATTCTGGAGGGATAGGCACGCACGCTAAGCTTTCCATCTTTATCAACAAGGCCTTAAACCTCTTTGCCTCGAGTCGGGCCACGAGCATGCTTAGCAGCTGATATTGTGAAGCCATAATATTGAAATAGTATGTGAACAAATTTAATTAAGATCTCAAATCAATGTAAATAAAGAGTGTGTCTTACCAATAGTATTACCAACAGTCACCTCAAGTTGAGGCTCCACATTGAGAGGTGGTGGCGGATTGCTAGTCACCTCAGGACGTGAAGAGGTATCCCCCTCTTCTAATGCGTGGGTCTTAGAAAATAAATTAAAACACAAAATAATTTTATTTTCTTTGTTACTAAAACTAGAAAAATAAAATACCAAGATTGCTGCCTTAAAGCTTTGAGGTTCATTTTCTAACAAGTATGTCAGAAAATCTGGACCAAAGGATTTTGATGTTTTTGCTCTCTTACTCCGTCTTGGTTCATCATTAGTTAAATCCTGTTGGTCGAGACTATTACTAGTCTCTTGTGTTTGATTGTCATTAGTCTCTTGACTTTGTGTACAATCATAAGTTCTTTTCTGTGAACTTAATTCCTGTCCTTTCTTGTAAGGAAAGACATGTTCAAAAAACACAGCATTCCTTGACTCTATAATAGTGTTCACATTTATATCAGGTATTTCTGATTTATAAGTCAGAAACCGATATGCACTACTATTCTACACATCGTGGTTCTCACTGTTGTGTTCATTTTGGCCTTGAACGCACCTGGTTTTCATGAGTATTTCTAGAGAATGTAGCCTTTTTCATTCTCATAGAACCGGCCCCAGTTCGACACTCATATAGGTGATTCTTATTGTGAGTATCTCCTTATACTCGTCTTGATTTTATACCTTAATCAAGATATAAGTAATCATTAAAAGCAAAGCTTATCCTTATACCTCTGCATACAACATATGTTGCAGATATCACTCTCACCATAGAACGCGGCATAGAACGCGGTAATGGTTTTGAGCAACCAAATATACCACGTGAATCACAACGCGGCATAGAACGCGTTACCACTTTGACCCGAGTAAATCGACACTCGGGGCCCACCTAAAAAATAGACCAAACTTGAGGAAAAATTAACCATTTCCAACAAATATTTGTCGTAGTTTTGAAAAATCAATATTGAATATTTTAAATGGGAAGTCACAAAAAAAAACATGTTAAAAAATGATTTGAAATCAAGGAACACGTGTTCGAAAATAGTTCAAAATGGATGAAAAAATGTTTGAAAAATAGGAAACACAACTTAAACTTTTGTATATCTGTTCAAATTCAATGGAGGTTCACTATGGCTTCACTTTTCTTTTGGCCAACCCTCCAAACTCGCACGTGTTGCATACTTTCTATTAATTTAGACGAAAACGGTTGCATTCAAAGTGGCTGTTTGGGAAGTGACTATTTTAGAAGTTTTTTGACTTTTTGGCTATTTAGTAGGCTATTTTAGTTTTTGTGTTTAGGAAGTTAGAATGGATTCTTATTTGAATTGTTGTATTGAAAAATGTGTTTGAAATGATGTTTAAAGTGAAATGACAAATTTGTCCCTACTTTTACCTTTTTCAAAATTAGTCTAAAGGGACAAAATGATCATTTACTCATTTGGAACTAGGCTATAATTACATTCAACCTACACTGTCTGTCACAGTGTAGGTCTGCCGAGCCCACTTTTTGTTTTTGTTTTTGATTTTTTTAAAAAAAATAAAAATAAATCATTGATTTGCATATTTTTGAGGCTAGTGGGCTAAATTAGACTTTGAGGCTAGCCTAAAAGTTGGGTTCCAAACACCCCCAAAATAAAAGGGAGTAAAATAAATTATGTCTTTAAATTTGTAACACTTCTAATCATGTCAACCCAAGTCCGGCCATAAGGTAAGGTGATAATTTTAGGCTTCAGATTTTAACAAAATTTAGGAGTTCCAATTAATCTAACTCTTATAGCATTAATAGGCTAAACAATCTAAATCTAAAACTAAAACGTCCTTCCAAAATAATTTAAGTTTAATTAATAATTTTGCAAAAAAAAAAGAAAAGAAAAGGAGTAATATTTAGTTGATATTTTACTATATTTGGTTCAATGTTCATTTGCTATTATAAATTTAGATTTCATAAAATATTTTTTCTTGTCTTTTTAGATTGGATTTTTTTTACTCCTTCTTCTTTTTCTTTTTTTTTTTTGTAAACTTGATTTTATTAAATTATAAATCAACAAGGCTATATATTTTTATCCTTTTAATTTTTTGTAACGATCTCTTCATATCTTCATCTTTATAAGGCGCTGTTTGGGAAGTGCCCACAGAGGCTATTATAGCCTAAAAAATTTTTTTTAGCCAAAAAGCCACTTTTGCAAGCTTTTTCAAAAAAAAAAAAAAAAAAAAAAAAAGGACCGAGCGCAGCCGGCAGTGTAGGCAGCCTACATTGTCGGCTAGAAAAAATGTTCCATCAATGAACATTTTACGATTTTACCCCTTCATAGCAATTTAAAAAAATATTTTTTTAGGGACAAACATCATTTCAACACATTTTTTAATACAACAACTCAAATAAAATCCATCTCATCTTCCTAAACACAAAAACTAAAATAGCCTACTGAAATAGCCAAAAAGCCAAATAGCCTACTAAAATAGCCAAAAAGCCAAATAGCCTACTAAAATAGCCACTTCCCAAACGAGGCCTAAGTAAAAGGACGAATTACACTAAAGGTCTCTATAGTTTAGGACTTGTGTCACTTTATTCTTTGACTTCTCAATTGTGACACATTTGATCATGAATTTTGAATCTTGTTCTAAATAAGGACAATTGAATATACCATTAATCAATTTCAAGGGTAAAGTTGTTAATTTGATAACATATAAACTAATTTGATAACATATAAATTTTCATTGTGCGCCATTGCGTCTAATCTAGCGAGGAGAACTTTGATCAAGAGGTTTTGTTCTTTCTGTGATTCCCACAGACGGCGCCAATTGTACGAGCTTCCTGTTGACCAAGTCTGCGCTCCTCCAAACGTCGTCGCTTTACTCCCTGAAAACATGAACGTGAGTTAGCCGGCGGGTGTGTGCCGGATACCTCTCTGATGCCTAAGTCAGCAAAATAGACAAATAGACAAAATGTCTGTGTATTCGGGAATCAAAGTTGTGTTACCTCTCCATAGGTGATGTTATGAGCTTTTATAGGTTCCGTGTGGCATAATCCTAGTAGGCCTCTTATTCCTGCATGCAGAGTCCTCCTAAGAATCACACTCCTGAAAGATAATGCTTATCCTTCAACACCCCCTCACTACTTAAACCAAATGAGATGGTTTTACCTCGGTGGTATGACAAAACGACCGAGCTATCATAGTCATGCTATATTGGTTGAAATGACCGAGCTTTACTTAGCTCGGTTCTCCCCTTCACTACGTGTACATCGGCTTCTCCTGCTGAGATCGTGCTAACCATAACGAGATTGGACCGAGCTAAACCGTAGCAAGGTCCTGAGAAAAGCTCAACATACTTCGGCCCAGAAGGGTGTGGCCGAGCTAACTGCTACCACTCTAACAGTGGTGACCAAGCTAAATACAAGGCTCTCTTGGACCGCGCTAACTACAAGGCTCTTTTGGACCGGGTTAACTACAAAGCTCTTTCTGGACTGGGCAAACTGCAAAGCTCTTTTACTTAGCCCTTTCTACTGTGGCCCACAGAACGGCCCATTACCTAGCTCGGCCCAATTTACATATAAATTACCCTCTCAACTTCTAATCATGTCAACCCAAGTCCGGCCATATGGTAAGGTGATAATTTTAGGCTTCAGATTTTAACAAAATTTAGGAGTCCCAATTAATTTAACTCTTATAGCATTAATAGGCTAAACAAATAAGAATTTAGCCTAAATAAAAAACTAAACCGTCCTTCCAAAATAATTTAAGTTTAATTAATAATTTTGCAAAAAAAAAAGAAAGAAAAGAAAAGGAGTAATATTTTAGTTGATATTTTACTATATTTGGTTCAATGTTCATTTGCTATTATAAATTTAGATTTCATAAAATATTTTTTTCTTGTCTTTTTAGATTGGATTTTTTTTACTCCTTCTTCTTTTTCTTTTTTTTTTTTGTAAACTTGATTTTATTAAATTATAAATCAACAATACTATATTTTTATCCTTTTAATTTTTTGTAACGATCTCTTCATATCTTCATCTTTATAAGGCGCTGTTTGGGAAGTGCCCACAGAGGCTATTATAGCCTAAAAAATTTTTTTTAGCCAAAAAGCCACTTTTGCAAGCTTTTTCAAAAAAAAAAAAAAAAAAAAAAAAAGGGCTG